TTAACTTCAGACAAGATTTGTGATGTGAAATGTTTGTTCACTGTGTGAGAGTCAAACAAAACAAACACTGAGACAAGTGTTGGCTGTTACTTACAAGACGACAACTAAAAAGAAGTGACAATTTGAATTTTAGTTACACTTTTTATATTTCATGTGATTAGGATCAGTGAGTAAATATAATCAAACATTTATTTTTATGATTTAGCGAATTTTTTTCTTCAGTCTTCCAGTCTTCGTAAAGCACTAATGTTTTACGAACGTCTCAGAGTTTTATTAATTAATCAGTGTTTAAAAAATAACACTACTTACTACATTTTGTGTTTCATGGTAATTTAACAGTAAAAGAAGGATTCTTTTGTCAAGTTTAATTTTTAATTAATTAATTTTAATGAACGTTTTTTAAAATTTATGGCAAGAAAAGATCGACTATAAACATTATGGCACGTGCTCGGGCGTATAACCTTGTAAGAAATGAGTGGGGGTATTTTCGCTAGGATTTAAAAACAGATTTAAAAAGTGAAAGATATACGGTATATACGTGTTCGTTTTTGTTTTTTTTTACTTTGAAATAATAATACGATTTCAAAATAACTGTTGCTAACAGTCGAAAGGTTTTATTTTTATTTATGTTTTAAAAATTTATATCCTCACATTTTGCTCATTTACACGACTAGTCTTGTATTTCTGATGTACAATTGTAACAATTAGGTTACCATTGGATTTCATTATTTTCGTTTTAAAACTTAACGAAGGAAAAAAATGAAATATGTTATTAAAGAACAGTCAGTGCTAGTTTCCTGTGTCTGTTTTTTTAACCGTACGGAAAAATATTTAAATAAATATATAAATTGAATAAATTTTTCAGATTGTTTTCGAGGAAATAGACTGACGTGTATCTCGATTTTCATACGAAAAACATTTATAAATAAAAAAAAATATAATAATAATAAAAACTGATTACAAGATAAAATTTAAAAAAAAAATATTAACTTTGGGATGATTTTTTTTACGGATGACCATGAAAGAATAATAATTTAATAATAATTTGTATTGAGCTTTTAAAAAGTGAATGGATCTGTAAAATAAATTGCTCTTACTTTTAACATCAAATCAATTACGCTTAAAAACTAAAAATTAAAATTAAATGACAAAAACACGAATTTATTCAATATTTAAAAGTAAAAAGCAACATGCGTAGCTATTACTACTTGATTAATGGTTGGTTGGTAAACAAAACACTAAACAAACACTACACAGTAAAATAAAACATGCTTATTACCTTAAAGAAATAAAAATGTATGACTACTTTTTAGAATTGACTAATTTTTTTTCCTTTATGTGTGTGTGTGTGTGTGTGTGTGTGTGTGTGTGTGTGTGTGTGTGTGGTATGATGCTTAAATTCTACAACACAAAGTCCTTGTTTAAACCGAAACGAAACATTGACATTTATGACATTCTAGCAATCCGTAGTATGAAAACATCAACAAAACTGGATGCCTCGCTATTTCTATGCAACATAGACCGAAAACGGCGATAAATGAAATATTTTTTTTACTCTTTTCTTTGTTAGCAAGTGGTGATTCGAATTCTCTGTTATTTTATGTAGAAATATACACTGGCAATTTTGATGAAGGACATTCAAGATTAAAATTTAAAAGAAAACGAACTTAAAATAAAATGTTCTACTTACTGTCGCGCCGTAAAGTAAGTAGTGTCTAAGTGTAGCTACGAAGGGTAATTTCAGTTTGTAGATAGTGATGTTATGTGTATCTTTTTCTTTTCCCAGATAGTGTATTTGATTGTATAAGTCAGTCAAAAAAAAACGACAACAATGACAGACACACACCAGCTGACTGTTATTCTCAATTCATTCATCAGTCGTCGATGATATTATCATTGGTGGGTCTGATGCCAAGAAGACACAAGCAGCAGTCAAATTAACAACCTACATAGCTCTGACCCACGACTGTACAAACATTGGGTCAAGTGTTGATTCTCGATTATTAGCATTATTATTTTATCATACCTCATATTGCAGGTATGTAGTTATTTGCCTATATTACTTAATTAAAAAAAAAAATCGGTCTAAACAGTTGAACTCCTGTGAACTATCATTCACCATACCACCCTCATTCAATGTCACATACATTCAGTTATATAGCCACTTAAAGAATCAATATTTAGAAATAAAATTGAACTTTACTCTGTGCTGTGAGGATGAGTAGACTTAAATCATAAATAAGATTCAAACGGAAAAAAAAGCTTTTGTTATGCGAGTAAGAAGACTTAAGCAAAATATAAATAAAAAAAAATTGTTGGGAAAAGTAAAGATGCTAAAATTACAGTCTCTGACATATTTCTAAACTAAACAAAACAATTTTGTATCAGCTGTTTAATTAATTAATTTACCTTTTAAACAGTTATTGTTAATTATTTACTAGTGTTTGAAAACTAAATTAGTCTATATACCTGACTCCTACAAATCTAAAAAAAAATCAGTGACATGAAAAATCATAAATCTCTATCATGATCAACTTTTGACAATATCAATACATGTAAATTTTAAAGTTCCAAATCATAAATGTTTGACCAAAAGCTAAAAAACAAAGCTAAAAATAAATTAATAAACCTAGCAACAAAAACAGCACACTATTAAGATAATATCACAAATGGATGGAAAATTTTTTTTAAATTATTAAAATATAAAATTAACAACATAAATCTTAGTTTTTCAATCAATCTGGTTGGATGAAAAACTGTCACAAATTATGGAGGGAAAAATCATAAGGTATGCTTTAGGTAAGAAAAGTTATAATTTCAGATTTTGAGTATAGGAACAAAATAAGTAATATTTTATTTTTAATATGAATTTTTTCATAAAATATGTAATAATGTCTCAATAAAAATCATTTAATTCTTAATAATAAAATATTATCCTGTTATAATTGTGCTTGACTTTCCCTTTGTTAGTTCGCACGGCCGTTACGCCCTGCCAATATCTCATAAATAATGGAGTATTCTGTTTTGATCAAATAGAAAGAGGAGATACTACTTGGTTTCAGTGAGAAAATGAAAGAAAGAAGGGAAGATAGAAGTGTTTAACACCGTCTGTTTCAATGAAATGGGAAAAGTTGTCAATTTCAAATCTTTTCATTTGTACTCACTTCTTAAAAAAACGACCAGCATTCATATTTATGATGGTTATTGCAATATTTTGTTAAGCAAAATATAAATAAATAAAAAATTGTTGGGAAAAGTAAAGATGCTAATTAAATCAGCATAACATAAAGTAAAGCCACTAAGACTCAAGGGGTTACTGAGTATGAAAGAATAAGAAAAAGAAGAAAAACATTATTAAGGAGTGAGAATAAAAAAAAAAACAAATTAATCAAGAAGACTAGATAATGATTAACATTACATTTAAATTTAAAGATCAAAGTTGGTTGTGTTACAAGATGAGATCTTGCCCTGCTTCGATAAACGGAAGTTACCATCACGAGTCCCCGACTCGAAATGAAAACTACACGTCTATGCATAGGCTCGACACAGATACTTCCGTTTGGGATAAACTCGAAAAAAAAATGAAAAGAATTAAATCAACCAATCGAACCGTCTCCCGCGTATTCAAAAAATTGCCATTTGGAGCCGATAGGTGTGTATAAGAACACGGGAAAGTCAAAAGGAGTGCGACTCAATACCGGAGGCAGAAGGGTCACATCGCTCGCTCCTGACACACTGGCCCGGCGACGAAACGAAGCATGTGACTGCTGCTGCTAATGAACTCTCGTCCGACGCCTTGTCAAAGGGTACCTTTCCCTCAACTTCTTAAATACGAACTTTTTACTTGTTCTTATTTTCCTCACTAAAAGAGATTATAAAATATATCTACAGTCTTTCTTGTTCTTTCGATTCTGAATTCCATTGTTTGCAACCAAACGCAGTATTTCGCCCACATTGATTTCACATCGCCCACTTAACTAAATACGGAATATAACACTGGTGTCAAGCGTGCAGCGAAACAATGGAATACTCAGGCCTCTCTCGCTCAGAAATTCTGGAACTCCTCAAGCAACAGAAAACAGCGATTCTCCAAACGAAAATCGACATGGAACACGCTGACAACCCCCAAGCACAATCGATCATTAACGAACTAAAAGCAGACCTTCACGAACTTTTAGCCACTCTGCAGACTACCACACATGATCGCTCACACTCACTGCGATACGCCAAAACTACGAACTATTAATGCGACAGCAATCACTTCGGACGCTGACGAAATCCATCCGGCCTTCGAACCAGGCAATGACGTCAACCGCTTTATCACCGACCTCAGCAAAGCTTACACGATACACGTTAAGCCAGAGTTTAGCGAATACCCCGAGATGGAGAAAGAATTCGTCAAACTGGCAAAACAACTCCTAACGAAGGCATCTTCCAGCAGATGGAAGACTCAAAACAATCCACAGCCACGTTCGAGAACTGAAAACTTACCTCGTCTCCACTCACGGGAACCAGATGACGAATTTCCAACATCTGAGTCGGGCATGGGACCTCCAGCGCTGTGACGGGAGAAATTCACTGATTTTGCAGGCCGACTTGAGAACACAATCCGAGAGGCCACAGTCCACATCAAGGCGAGATTCAAGTTGGACAAACAAAATGCCGAGATGACAGCCGACACCGCTTTCTCCCTAATGGGGGCCAGGGTCATGAGCGAAAGGATCAAGGCATGGGCACCAACATTTATCCACACCTCGTCAAAACCATGGATAGACACTCTCAGCGGGCGGTATTGCCAGCGGCAGCAAACGCTTTCTCGATCGCATCAAAACAGACATGACCACCTCCGTTGAAACAACCGCATTGATTGCGAGCCAACCAGCAAACTCCGGCAAGCCTCACAGCCTTGAAAGTAACAGAATACTAGCTGACGTAAAGCGACAATTGCTGGACCTGAATGAGCAACTACAGCAGGCGCACAGGCACAACCCAACCACCATCAACAGGAACAATCAGACCGGCCCCTCATCCAACATGAAGCACAGCCGGATGCAAAGAGGCACTGGCCAATCCAGCCACCCGGCAGTATGCAGAAACTATCTACGAGGCTGTACATGCTTCAAGGGTAACAGATGTCCCTATTTTCACCCTCCCCACGCTCAAGCTCACATAGCGACCACTGATACCACCTTACCCGGAGCAGACAGTGATCCACACAACGCCGAGCACTCGACATGCTTCAACGAACTGGATTTTCAGCAGGGACCCGAGCGAGATGTGATGTATCGTTCCACGGTCCCGAATCAAACCCCATCATCACATATTCAATCTCCAGATCTTACCCGAGCTCCGATCCCCTTTGTCCAGATCAACCTCCGCTGCAACGACATTATGTTCTCCAATGTCGGCATGTTGGATTCTGGGTGCCGCGACTTACATCGTCCCAATTTCTCGCTTACCCGAAGAAGCGAAAAGTTCATGACCCAATCTGACATCCGAATTAAGGGAATCGAGCGAACGTCTCTATTCTGGGCAAATTAACTTGCGGCGTCACCTTAGGCGACCATACTTCCCCGCTTCCACAAGGTCGACACACTGATCACGACATCGGACATTCCTATTCTGATCGGACAGAATATACTCAGCCACCACCACGCTATCTTCTTATACTATCGACAACCAGAAGGCTTCTATCAAATTTACACGCACGCTCATCCGGCAAGCTAACTCATACCCTCTCTCCCAGCCTCGATCTAAAAAAAAACAACCCATAATCTACTTTACGGCGCCCAAGCCATTTCAACGAGGAGCCCCGTGTCTGGCGAGATCATCGTTTGACGGTGGACCCTCAACCGAAAACTGGATTGGCTGAAACAAACCGTGGGCCTATCACTTCCAAACCACCCTAACCGTAGTGAACTAAAGCCACCGCTGGCCTGCTCATCGGCTATCACGGATATCCTCGGCACCGACGACAATAACAAGGGCACCTTCATCAGACCCATCGCACACCGACCAATGGCCAGTCCAGAAGCCAAAAGCAGCATCCAATAGCCCAAGCACTGGAGGATGGCGTGGATGCAGAAATTGCGCGCATGGCCAGCGAGGTATCATCGAACCTTACCGCGACCCCAAAGTTCAACAGCCCCATTTTCGCCATCCGTAAGAAAAACGGAAACATCCGGTGGTAGCAAACTTCAAAAGAACCCTCAACAAGGTACTGGTTGATCTCGACCCGTATCCGATACCTACCATTGATTCCACATTCAACAAAAGATTGGCGAGGGCAACAAATACTTTTCAACCCTCAATCTCCGCCTTGGGTACTGGCAAATCGTCATTGATAAACGGCTGCCACAAAACGGCCTTTACCTGGAAAGGACGTTGTTTCTTCTACCGTCTGGCTTTTCGGTTTAACTTCCGTGGGACAAATCTTTTTTTGATTGTGCATAGCCGATGCTCTGGACACAGTGGCCTCGCAGCGCGAACATATCGTCCTATAATGGCGACAACCTCATCCATGCCAAAACCTTCGAGGAATACATAACCGCACTGGAACAATTATTCATTGCTCTTCGCAAAATTCGGATTGAAACTAAATCGAACAAATCTGCGTCTTCGCTTGCGTCTGAAGCCAAATTTTTTACGGCCACATTGTGAATAGCGGCGGGTTCAAAGGCCCGATCCGAATACGTTAGCGCCATCATCGACATGAAACCCCGACAACAAGAAAAAATTGCAAAGTCTCATCGGACGCCTTGTATGGATTCGACAATTCCTTGAGACATGCCTATATGAGAAGATTCGAACGGACATGTTTTTCCAACCTGATGGCCCCCATAAACGAACTAAACAAGCCAGGGCCGGACATTTGTCTGGACGGAAAGGCCAACAAGGCTTTTCGAAAAAAAAAAAAAGAAGCCTCGCTTCACCTCCAATCATCTCACTTCCCAACTTCTCTGGACTCTTTACCCTCACCACTGATGCCAGCAACGCGCATGCGGAGCTATACTCATGCAAGAGGGTGAACACGGTTGAAAGAAAATCATAGCAGTGGCCTCACACACCTTTAACCCGACAGAGCGCAACTGGTTGATGACTGAACGCGAGGCGTCGCGCTATAAAATGGGCTATCACCAAATCGATTATTTCCTCCGTAGCCGTCCATTCGTCATCCTCACGGATCACCGGTCCCTTACCTACTTGGATCAATGCCAAATTCAACAACGCAAAGATATCGCGATGGCAAGAGGAAATCTCGTGTTACAAGTTCATCTTGGAATATGTAGAAGGAGAGTCGAACGTCTGGGCTGACATGCTCAGTCGGAGATCTGACCTAACAAGGACAAATTACCAGTGGACCCCACACCCCAGGCAAGGTCTTCAAACTCAAGACTCCAGCCTAAACATCTACGTCCCATCTTGGTGCCTTGATGAAATCAGGAGCTCCCAGCTACTCCCTGGGACACATACACCTCGGGAGATCCAACAGCATAAGCAGGTTGCCGATGCATTCTTAAGCTTTTCACCACGTCCACCATCCCTGTTAAAGAGATCGACCACATGGGTATTATGCCGAACAAGCCTCTGATGATACACTTTCAAAATCATCAGAGCCCTCCAGTCGACAGATCCAAGACCTGACACTACCATACTTGACCCCAACGATCATCGCACTGCACTTTTCAACAAACTCATGCATCAATTTTACTTGGAACCGGGAACGTCTGTACTAATGATCAGGGACGCTTAACACACCCAAGCTGGTGGTACCTTACAAGCTCCAACAAAATATCTCCACCAGGCTCATGACTGTGTAAACCACTCTGGAATCAGCCGCATGCAGGAACACCTATCCAGTTACTGGTGGGGAATATAAAAATCGCGACATCAAGGCGTGTCCATTCATGCCAAACCTAGCTAAAACGTAAGGGGAATTACGGCAGGCACCCAAACTGGCCCATGGGCCATGAATTCTTCAGAAATTGTTTTATTTAAATTCCAGATACCAGACTGAGCAGATATGGGATTTTGAGAAAAATAACTTAGGTGTGTTTTCCTTAAAAGGCAAAATAGCTGAGCAGTAAAACTGTACTTTCTACTACAAAGGTGGATACAGGTTCAATCCCTGCTGGAGAGCACATTTTTTCAATAAAGATTTCTCAGATATGTCGGCTGATAGATGCATTACACACTGTTTAAAAATAAAAATGAAAATGGGGAATCTATTTTAAGAATAAGCATCCATTATAATGTTTGAAGTTTGATATATATATATATATATATATATATATATATATATATATATATATATATGGGCTCTCTCATCACAGATGACAAAAATAAAAAAAGAGGTGCTCAACTTCTATGGACACATATGTGTCTCCTAAAGGCTATGTACATATACTAATTTAAAAAAATTGGTGTATATATATATATATATATGTATATAATAATTATTATCATGAACACAAAGACTTAGAAGACCATGGTGATATTTATTTCGTTAGAATTGAAAATTCGATTTCAACTCTTCAGACCAAAGACATTACACACAAATGAATGGATAAATATTTTACTAGGTTCGAAGAAAAATATGAACATAATTTATGCAGATTTAAAAAGATGCAGAGGAGAAAAGAGTGTATTCAAATAGGGCTAGGGTAATGAAAAACAAGAGGGATATTTCAAATTCTGTCTAAAAAGATATTTTTAGTTTGTAGACATTTTGACCTAAAGTCCGTTCACTGTGTCATGCAAGACAATTTTTCTCTCTAGAATCTGTCTTGCATATCTATAAGTCTACCATTCACCTATGCTTAGAATATTGCTGTCATATATGGTCCGGTGACCCTGCTATTGTCCTGAAGCTCCTTGATAAGATCCAAAAAAAATCATTAATATTATTGATCCTGATCTGGTGGCTTGGCTTCATTCACTTGCACATCACTGTAAGGTTGCCTATCTGTGCCATTTTTATAAATACTTTCATGGCAATTGTCCGGATGAGCTCTTCACTATAGTACCTAAGCTTTATGAATTTAAACACAATAGTATATGGGCAGCAAGATCTCATTAATTTACAGTTGAGCTAGTTGGATGTAGCCAGAACTTTTATGCTAACAGTTTCTTATCTTGCACTTCTCGTTTGTAGAGCTGGCTCCATGCTTTCCAACCAACTTTAATCTGCAAAAATTTAAATGCAATGTCAATCGCTATCTACTGCTGCCTTCATGATTGCTCTTTTCTCTTTCTCCTTCTTACTAATGTTTCTGTTCCTAATTCCTCCACACCCTGTAACTCTTTATGTGCTAGTGTCCATACTGCCTTGCTTGGGATGATACAGATTAAAAAAAATTAAAATAAAATAAAATAAAAAATAAATATATATATATATATATATATATATATATATATATGCACACTTATACATATACATCTTCATCTAGATATTATGGGCTACATATTCTAAGGGCTCTGAGGTAAAATCCTATGATTAGTCATGATTTTATTTTTGGTAGTGGTGGGAATAGAAATTGATTAAATCACTTTTGTTTACAGTAAATTTGAGAATCTAATTTGTTATTGTCATGTATTAATAAGATATCAACTCAAGAAGAGATTTGTCTATTTCGTGTTTATGTTTGAATTCAATGGTAGGTTCAACGTTATTAAGTTTCTTTATGATGTTCAGAAGATTTTCATTTTTCATTAGAAGAATGTCATCTATGTATAGTTAATTGAAGTATTTAGGTATGGTCTGTTTAAATGGGCAGGGTACTAAAAATTCTCAGAAAATACAAGTTACAATGCTACTTATTGATGATTCCATAAGTAAACTAAATCTTTGCTTGTGGATAATTTTTATTAAAAGCTGGTTGGCTGGTTGAATTTTTTTTAGTGGCATATCAACACCTGCATGGGTTATTTAATACTGAATCTAAATATTTAACATGCAATTTTCTGGTTTCAACTACAGATATTTTGTACATAATTTTAT